TCCGACCCTTAATCTATGAATCTGTGAATCTATGAATCTATGAAGTAAATCCAAAACAAAAGTAAAGAAAAAAGAATTGTGAAATATCTCTGTATTATCCTGTATTCCCTGAGCCAACAGAAGAGAAAAGCCTCATATAGAAGCCTGAATACAGGGAGCCTGATAAGACCTTTAAAAGGCAACTGTGGGGTTCATTTTATCCTCCATTCTACCCATTGGTGAAGGAGAAAAAATTACCTGGAACAAGCTCAGTATATTCAGAGAGAGATGCAAACACCTCTTATTTGTCCTAAGCATCCCACAGTGACACTACAAAAAAAAGAGGGTAGAGCTAATTGTATTAGGCTGAAATCAAGCAGAAGGCAAGGCAGGATGGCACATCAGAAACTAAGATGATTTAGAGAAATATAAGCTTTCATAGGCAATAGCCTACTTCATCTCCCAGAGTAGGAGATGCAGTGTGGGAGGTGTCCTTGACTATACAGTAGGTGGTGGCACCATGATTCACCTACTTCATCAGCCTGAGGGAATTCAGTAGTGGGGAAGAGGACTCTGACTCTCCCTCTGCTTCAACAGAGGCACTGAAGAGTCTCCCCTTCCACCCAGCCACATCCTTGGTGAATTGTAGCCACACAAGTGCATCACTCTGCCCTTGGCTAGCACCATCCCACAGGATGCCAGGAACAGGGACTTTATTATAAAACCTCCCTCAAGTAATCAGCGAGTGCCCACTCTTACACCAGAGCAAATGAGACATGAAATATAAAAAGTGCCACATTGTTTTCAGGTAACTGTGAAAATAATGAAATCCTACTGGTTGGAGCTCTGTGGTCCCAATCCACACCCCACTCAAGTTAGTGGGAGTCTTTCCTTTTACTTCACTGAACTTTGAATCAGGCTTTTATATTTGACTCAATGCTAAGCCCCAGGTCCTCTGCGAACTATTAGCTGTAAAGCAAGATACAAGAGTACCTGACCTATCAGCTGGTAATATCAGTTTTTGAAAACATCAACATTCCCCCTATAATATGCCTAAGTGTCATCTGATTCCAAATGGAAGTTCTGATACAAAGGTTAACACTCCTATTTCTGGCATAGGCCATCACTTTAGCCATAAGGGTAAGTCACAAAAAGCAGCAATAAAGAAGACAACACAACCACTTTTTGCATTAACTGTTCTTCAGGGACTTGAGCAGAGTGAAATCAGATCACAATTAGATCTCCAAGTCTGCTTAACAGGACCACTGGCCCTTGGAGTTTTCCAGAATGAATACAGCTTGCTTATAGGCCCTGATGACTTAATCTTTGCTAAATTGTCTCGTTTGTTTCCCTGATGCAGAGCTTCCCAATTACTGCTATGTGCTTATTAAAGGCAGAGAGAATGGGTAACAGAGTATTAAAATCCTGCTCACTATTTCAAGGTTGCAGAAGATAATGATATTGAAGCTTTGTGCACTTCTAGACGACAGAACATATTTTAATTAAGCATGGAACTCCTCAAGGGAAGCTAATTTAATAATAGTTTGCAATTCAGTAGGACTCATAATTTGGGGATCTCAGGGCATGTTTACAAAACTGTAATAAAGCTTCATAGGTCTCAAATGAAGCATCGCAGGGCTCCAGTAACACTCCCTGCAGTTTTGTTTCCCTCCCTGCATCTGGTATCATCCCTGTCCTGAAAAAAGACAGCTTCTCTTCTTACTTACCCTAGTCCCAGGGGTTCTGAAGATTCAGGGTGCTGAGGAGTGGTGCTAAATTGTAACATTGTACCGAGCTGGCCTCACTGGATCCCAGATAAGGCCTTGCCTCCTCTGGAATGGTGCTAAATTGTGCCAGGGCCTACAAAAGAGCTTACAGCATGTGGCTTGCAGTGCTCTCTCCTCTCCGGACCTGTGCTGCGTTGGTCTGGAATTGCTGATGATTCACATGCAGCACATGTAGCCCTTTAGTCTGCATACAGAAAAGCAGACCCAGGCACAAAAAGCCTGGGCATGTGCCTGAATTCACATGGTGAATTATAGGCACAGCCAAAACTAGATTGGAGCTCTGCTGAGTCCCAGGCCCATACTGTAACCATTAGAACAGTGATTCTCCACCAGGGTCCTGTGGCACTCTGGGGTACTTTGAGATCTTTTCAGTAACGCTGCAGGATGCCACACAATGTTAGCACCATTGGGTGTACAACATAATTCACAAGAATAAACCCAAAGATTTCAAACAAATTCATAGTGTTAAAAACATTCTGACCTGTTTGGTCTTTCTGAGTTCTTTGCAACAGAAGAAATACCCTGTTGCTATTGTTTTTCTATTGTCAAAAACTTAAGAATGAAAATTAAGAGCTGGTATTTTCTGAGGAATGCCTTCCTACAACCTAAAATGGTTGACAATTACTGCATTAGATCATAATCAGTCTTGTTTGAACCATATTGTTGCCTATTTACATTTTATTCTTGAGGCATGAGGCCTCACTTCTCAGAGACAGTCAACTGGGCAAGAGATGAAGATTTTGGTAATATTTCCTGGTGTTGAGAGTACCTGAAGCTTTACACATCAGGTACATAGGACTTGAGGGATAGTCAATAAAGATGTGATTTGTTTTGTATATTATTATGCAACTTTCACTCAGAAACAAACAGAAGTAAAGTTGTATAAGCGAGCAAAAGGAGTTTCTTGTGAAAATGGGAGGCTAGATTCATAATTCCTCAGTAATGTGTGTATGGTCCACAGGTCTAGCAAGAATTGCATTTTATGTAAATTATTTATAAACATTTAATATGTCTATGACTTTACCTTGGAGAAATTATCTCCAATATATCAAGAAGAACTGTATAATAAATCAAAAGTGGTATATATTTGTAACACTCCCACTAGCTGTTCAAGCCCTTGACCACATAC